TTGGATTCACTTCTCCGCCAGTCCTACCTTTCAGAAAGTGGTTGATTTTCTGTTTCTAGAGTTGCTGTTCTTCTTCTCTTCAATCTCCCATTGGATTTGTAGGTGTTTGCAATCTTTAGATAAGCTATTTAGCTGATCTCCCGCTACCTGATGTAGTCTCAGTCTGCTACTTCTCCGCCATCTTGACTCCTCCCCCCCGGACTTTTAGATCTTTTGACTATAAAGCTTATTAAAGATATTATACCATTTCCCCCATGGGATTTGAAAGAAGCTCTGAGATAGAATTCTAAATTCATGTTGTGTACAATTGTGTAATGAAGTTCCCAACACCGGAATCATTTAAAAATGCCAGATGAGCCCAGGAAAAGGTAGGAGGCCACTGTGGGCTGGAGACCTCAGGAGGTGGCTTTGTGAAGGAGGTGTGCCAGGAGCTGGAACTTGAAGGAAGGCTGGGAAAACAGAAAGCTTAGAGACAGCAGTGGCTGATTTTTCTTCTTTTTCTCTTGGTAGCTTGAGCACATGTTACCTAACAGATGCTAGCTGTATGGAGCTCTCTTCTTTCTTGCATGTGAGTCAGACTTTAAAAGAGCTGTTTGTGTTTGCCAATGCCCTAGGGGACACAGGAGTATAGCCTCTCTGTGAAGGTCTGCAGCATGCAAAGGCTGTTCTCCAGAATCTTGTGTAAGTGTCTGATTATCCTTGTTCTCACAGACCTTGGCACTTGAGGTTCAGTAGGACTCTATGGTTAACAGCCACCCTCGTATCCCCATTCCTTCAGACTTTCTGAATGTTCCCTTTCTGCAGCTAGCTGTGAGTCCCTCACCCAAGTCCTGAGCTCCACCTGGAGCCTGACAAGGCTGCTTCTAATTAATAACAAAATTGAAGATTTGGGACTGAAATTGCTCTGCAAAGGATTAAAACAGCCTGACTGTCAGTTAAAGGATCTGGTGTAAGTATCATGGACTATAGCCACAGGCAGAATTTCCTGATGTTTCAGCAACTCTTAAAATTAAATGAGTATTTTTTGGCCTGGTGATTGAATCTCCAAGGAAGCAATAAATGAAGAACCAAATAATAAATGTTCCCCACTCCACAATCTCTGCTTGGTCCTGGCCCAAGGGATTTTTTTTAAACACGATACTCTGAGTTTCTACTGTGTTTTTCTAGCAGGCAAACAGAATTCCTAAAGTAACTCAGTGTAGATGAACTGATGCCAGCCTTCTCTGCTTTATTTCCTGGCAGACCGTGGACCTGCCACCTGACTGGAGAGTGTTGTCAGGATCTGTGCAATGCGCTCTACACTAATGAGTACCTAAGAGACCTTGACCTCAGTGATAATGCCTTAGGGGATGAGGGCATGCAGGTGTGATGTGAAGGGCTGAAAGTCTCCTCCTGCAAACTGCAGACCTTGTGGTAAGTGCACAGCAACTCTTTGTTCCCCGGGCTCTCATTCCCAGCTCTATATGAAATGGGGGTTCATTGTGGAACTTGGGGTAAAACTGATTTCTTTCTTGAATCCACAATTCTTCATAGGTTAGCACACTGTCATCTCACAGATATGTGCTGTGGAGCCCTTGCCTCTGTCAACAGAAATGAGAACGTAACATTGCTAGACCTAAGTGGAAACCACCTTAAGGATTTTGGAATGCAAATGCTGTGTGATGCACTGATTCAGCCAATATGTAAACTACAGACTTTCTAGTAAGTTACTATGGCAAGTGGGAGGGAGGTGGAAGGGAGGGGGTCAAGAAAGACATGTTGGGTTTGATCATAGCCCATCGAAGCGAGGAAAGAAGAAAAACTGAGGGCAAGCCATGCCTAGGCAAAATATCAGAGTAAGTGAAATGAGCAGTAGGCCTCCTCCTTGGACACAGGGACAGGGCTCAAGGCAGAGAACAGGCAGCACTGGACAGCACTGGATCTCACTGCTACGAGAAGCAGCATGGCATAGGAAAAAGAGTACCAGATCTAGATTCTATTAGGTCTGGCTTAAATACTGGGTTTAGCATTCACTGGCTACATGACTATGCTTACTTAACCTCCCTGAACTTTAGTATCCATGTCTGTAAAATGGAGCTAATACTGGTACCCGGCTATCTGGTGTTAACAGGGGGCTTGAATGAAGTGAAACGTTATTTATAAATGTACCAATTACAACTATTGGCACATAGGTGGTACTCCATAAGTGTTAGATTCTTTCCCTTTTACTCTTCTCATACTTGCCAGGGGTCTTAAATATTTACATTTGAGAGTCTTCAAGACTCAAGGAAATGAAGCTGTAATGATGCAGTTATAGGAAGCGGAGGTCTTGACTCTTTCTGGTAAATGTCCATCTGCCAGCTCAGCAGGCTGGCATGACACACAAAGTCACTCTTAATTAGGATACAGCTATGCTGTGTTGGCAGCTAACCAGTGACCAAATGGCCATTCATTTCTGGCATTCAGAACTGGAACACATAGTGGAAAATAAAGGCCGAGTGCAAAAATTCCACATTTCAAAGCCAATTTGACGGATTGAAGTGTAAATGAAAACAACATAAAAGCCTGATTACAAATCTGGCTGAAAGAGAAGCTGGTTCTCTACTAGCAAAGTGAAGTGTGTTAGTTTCAAAGGCTTGAAAGCACGGTGATTACTGCCCAGAAAAAGAGAATCATTCACGACATGATGAGCCTCAGAGATTTAGGGACCTCCATTCCATGGTGTCTTTCTCAAAAGAGGTGACTGCAGTCTATGTTGTCAACAGGTTGGAATAAGCATAATGAACAATCTTAATGTTTCTTCAAGTATTGAGTAATTTAATGTGGTAGCACTCCATAGTGTGTATGCTTCAGCAAAGGTCTTAAGTGGCAGCGACAAGAAATTATTTTGGGATGGGATGCCATTATTTGCTTTCTATTGTAAATTATTACACTGTTTCCTGTATTTCTTGCTCTTTGCCTTTTAACCAATATGCTTCCGTTCTGTTTTCGGGGCACCCTTCAAACCCTTACAATTTGTTAGCCGACAGGTTGGTAACAATGTGCAGTAATGGCTCAGAATACAAAATAAAGGACATACATGCACACACACTCACAGAATAGATACCATTCACTGACCTCAAATCAATTTTGATTTTTAGAGTATATATAAGAAATACAACGCTGTAATTAATGGAAATATATACTTACCAAGCAAGGTGAAAGGAAATTATGGATGATTTAATGTTGTGGTGGGATTGAAAGGGGGTATAATTCCAGGAGAGCCTTCTAAAAGGGGGAGTCTCAGCTGTAAATTACAAAGACTGGAGGAAGAAGGTTATTTTCTAAGAGCTGTTTGGGTGTGGGGCTGAATCTTACTCCTCATTGTATTCTCCCCTGACCCATAAAGTTCCTGGCTTAGCTTTGCATATAGTAAATACATATAGAAGACCAGTTAGTAATTTAGAGCATCTGGAGGCAAGGAAAGGGGACAGTTCATGACATGTTCAATAAAGGTTACGTGTCTAGACATTCAGAAGGTCAAGGAACAAAAGAGGCTGTGGCCTTAGAGTGGCAGAGCTCATCTTCATTCATTCCACAGGTACTTGCTAAGTATCTGCTATGTGCTAGGCACATGTGCCGGGTGCTAGGAGACAAGAGTGAATAAGACACAAGACATAATCTATGCTCTTCAGGGGCCAGGGGGCTTAGTGGTAGAGACAGGCACATAAACTGAAGAATATAATAGGGTGATCATGTGGTCTTAAGAGAGTCCGGGCAGGAGACAACTCACCCAGTCCAAGAGGGTCAGGGAAAGCTTCTTGGAGGAAGGACTACCTGAGTTAAGTCTCAGGACTATTGCCTGGAGAAATGGGGGTAAGGATAAAGAAGGGTAGCCCATGCTCAGGAGATAGCTTGAACAAGGTAGCCAGACAATATATTAACTGCATGGTTTATGATAAATGATGGGGAAAGGGATGGGAAGGAATTTGCTCTTGGTGGAGCATAAAGTACAAAACAGAACGTGTCAAGAAGTGAGACTGGGGGGTGGGGTAGGCAAGGCCTTGTATGCCATCTGTGGTTAGTAAGGCCTGTTAGCAGAGCTCTGAGTGCAAACTCAGTCATTGCTCTCTTTCTCTCACATACTATAGTAGTAGTCCATTTTGAGGCCTCTCTTCACCTTTTCAAAACTGGTCACTATGATAGAGCCAGTTTTGCCCCCTGCTTCTCTGTTTCTCACTGCCACAGGGGGCTGATGTTAAGAGCTGACCCTAACCAGTCCCACAGAAATTTGGTTACTAGACACTGATATGCTGGCTGGTCTGGATCCCTGCTAGCCCTGCAGTGCCATCATACTGGGGCTCTGAGATTACAGATCTTTTAATCCACATGCAAACATGCAGCCATTGTTCTCTAAAGTATTGCATGTGTCAGGGTGGTTGGGTCTAGAGGAGCTTCTGGAATCAGCCACGGGTGTATATATATAGGAGACCTGCCCTTGCCCCACAAAGGTGTAGGTAGGCCCCTGAGTTGAGTCAGGGTCCCCACTTGAGCCTTTTTCTTTCTTCAAGATAATTTTATTTTATGGGCCTGTTGCCTTTCCCAGGCACTGGACCTTGGATCAACGTCCTTGATGCATGTTCCTAATTCTAAATTTGGAAAGAAAGGGTTGAGAGTAATTGGTCTCTTAACTCCCAGAAGACCTCTGGGCTTCCTAAGCATATTGACTCACCTCTTCCCAACAGTGAGCTTTGCACATCAAGAGGTAAGACAGCTTTTGCTACATCACTCAAAAAAAAAAAATTCTCAGGGCGCCTGGGTGGCTCAGTGGGTTAAGCCGCTGCCTTCGGCTCAGGTCATGATCTCAGGGTCCTGGGATCGAGCCCCACATTGGGCTCTCTGCTCAGCGGGGAGCCTGCTTCCCTCTCTCTCTCTGCTTGCCTTTCTGCCTACTTGTGATCTCTCTCTCTGTCAAATAAATAAATTAAATCTTTAAAAAAATGTTTAAAAAAAATTCTCAAGATCTTGTTACACTTCCATGACATTAAATGTCTACTTACCCTATAATTCTATAATTACCAAGGTTACTCATTTTACTTTGCTAGATAAAAATTAGCTTCTATGCACTAAAAACTAAAATCTTTGTCTCACTACACACTTGAAAGAGCTTGTACCTTCTTTTGTAGTCAATGGGTTTTAACTGTGGAAATACATGTAAAGCTTGAAGTGCCTGTTGGACACTGTGGGAAGTTTTCTAGTAGCTGGGCAGTTGGATATAGGAGCCTGCCCTGGAGATGATAGCTGAAGCCATGACAATGAATGAGATCCTCTAGGGAGAGTGAGAAGAGAAGAACCTCTGAGGAACATCTCTGGGGAATTGCCTTGGGCAATACCAACTTTTAAGAGGTGGGTATGGAAAGGAAAGCCCATGGAGTAAACCAGGAGAGAAACTGTGTCCTGGAAGCTATGGGAAAAGTGAGTTTCAATGAAGAATTGCTCAACAGTGTCAAATGCCGCAGAGAGGGCCAAAAGGATGAGTGCTGAAACCTGTATCCATTGGATTTAGTCATTAGGAAGCCATAGGTGATTCTGTCGAGGTCTGTTTCAGTGGTGTGGTGGGGCTGGAAACCAGACTGCCATGACTTGAAGAGACTGGAGATGAGGAAGGGGAGAAGGAGCAGAGACTAGAAGTTTGTGAAAAGGGGACACCTGGGAGGCTCAGTTGGCTGAATGTCTGTCTTTGGCTTAGGTCATGATCTCAGGGTCCTAGGATCAGGCTCCCTGCTGTGGGAAGTCTGTTCCCCTTGCTTGTGCTCGCTCACTCGCTCTCATAGACAAACAAACAAATAAATGAATTTGTGAAAAGGAGGAGAGATGTGGGGCTGTAGCTGGGAGGACTTGTGGAACTGCAGGAAGGAGGGAGTTGTTCTTTTTCCTTCTTGGCTTTGTTGAGGATAGGGAGATTTGTAGGCTGAATGAAAGGAGCCAGTAGAGAGGAAGAGGTTACATATACAGGAGCAGGAACTAATGGGCTAATGCAGGAGGGCCTTGGACAAGGGCAGAGTGGGACGAGAGTGAGAGTCCAAGAGGAAGCGAAGCATTTTCTCAAGGAGAGCAGCCAAGGCTGAGGGAGGAGGTAGCTGGCTGAGCAGGTGAAGTAACTGAATGGTGCTGGGAGCAAGGAGAATGGGAATCTTATCCTCGAGGACAGGAAAACTAGTGAAGGCAACTGTTGGCTTGACTTGACACAAGACTTTTCATTTTTCATAGCATTGACACAGATCATTTACATGAAGAAACATTCAGAAAGATGGAAGCTTTAAAAATGAACAAGCCTGGGGCTCCTGGGTGGCTCAGTGGGTTAAGCCTCTGCCTTCAGCTTGGGTCATGATCTCAGGGTCCTGGGATCGGGCCCCGCATTGGGCTCTCTGCTTGGCGGGGAGCCTGCTTCCCCCTCTCTCTCTGCCTGCCTCTCTGCCTACTTTTGATCTCTCTCTTTGTCAAGTAAATAACAAAAGTCTTTAAAAAAAAAAGAATAAGCCTGGAATCACCTGGTAGTTTCCAAGGAGAGCCCCTGAATCAGCTGCATATAGACCCCCGCCCCCCAATCTGGCACCATCTTTAACAGTTGTGCAATATTCTTGTTCAAATCCTGTTAACCTTTGCTGAGGACCCTAGTGTGAAGCAAGTGGCAGTGATAGCTATTTGTTACATAGAATCATCCACTAAGTAGGATGTGAAAGGCAGAAGCACTTTAGTTCAAATGTCTTCAGCAATAATACATTCATATATTGTGTTATAAAGTTTACTGTGTCTCCACAGAAATCCTCAAAGGTAGGAAGATGAGGCTCAGAGGGGTTGTGATTAGCTGTAGGTCACACCGCTCATTAGTGAGAGAACTGGGACTGGAATCTAGCCAGGATTTACAATACCCAGACCAGGCAGGGAAACAATAGGAAAAAAGATGTGAATGAGTCAACTTGAAGAAACGAGATACTTGAAATGACTAAAGGGCAAGAGGGTACATGAACACATGTTCTGTCTTATGGTGCTGATTTTAAGTAAAACTATAATTCATGAAAGAGAGAGAGAGGAATGAGTAGGGTTGATAGGTAAAGGCTTCCTGGAAGTGCAACTTGATGTGGGCCTTGAGACTGCAGGCAACAGGGCTATGTTTGTGAGCAGCTCACTAAAAGTGCTTAGCAAGAGACAAATGTTGGCAGTAGGGTTCTCCGAGCTGCAGCAGTATCTGCGCCCTAGGCTCCTAAGGGTGCTCTCCGGTTCCCAGGCTCAGCTCCCTTTCTGAACTTTTAATACCTACTCCATGTGTTTGTTCTTGTTCATGGACTCCTATGGCCAACTCCCTCCTCACCCCTGGCAGCATATCACATAGCCTAGCACAACTCCTACAGGACCCCATGCTTCTCTCTCTGCCTAGCTTCCACAGAACACCAGATGAGATGAGTGCAGGGAGGGAATGCCAGGTAAAGAAAACAGCACGAAGTCCACGAAATAGGTGAACGTGGTGTGGGCTGGACAGAAAGGTAGGCTGACTTGATTAAGGTGTAGAGTTGTCTCTGGAAGCTACTTGACTAGCGCTGGGACCCTAAATAAGTCACACAGACTCTTACAGTTTCTATTTTCTCATCTGCAAAATGGGGGTAAATTGACATTAACCTTGCAGGGTGGTTGTTCCCAACATGGTGCCAACACACGCACAGTAGGTACTGGAATGGTGGCTATTTGTAGGAGGGTATAAATGCAATATAACAGCTGTGTAGTCTTTGAGCTCCCAGATTTTCCTGCTGTGTAGTCAGTGTTAACTGTGCATTTGAACGAAATGTGTATGCCAGAGATAGTAAAGCTAACAGGAGAAGGGACACGTAGTGAGGAGTTACTGGAAGTGAGAGGTCCAGCTGCTCCATGTCCTCATCCATCATCACGTGTTGTTCCTGGCTACCCTGGGAGATGATAACTTTCATCTCATTTCAGGAGACCACATCTGGCCTGAGAAGAATGGTCAAGACTTTGTTTAAGTTCTTTCCCTTTAGTTATTTAATACTTATTTATTGAGAATTATTATGTGTGCCAGGTGTTGTGCTAAATCTTGGCTTTACAGAGACGAATATGCCTTTTCCTGTGCACATCCCCTGCCATCTTCTCTAACTGCCCTGGTCCCTCTGTCAGTCTAGTAAACAAACATCTGATAAAATTCAGTCACATTAAGAACTTAAGGATATAATATTGAATGAAAGATTGCAGAACTCTGTGCGTGTGTATGTTTGTGTGTGTCCTGTTTGTATCCAAAAAGATAAAGATACATGTGTATGTATATGTCCAGAATATATGTAGAATAATGTATGCAAGAAACTGCTAACTAGAGTTATCTCTGTCAAGAGGAATTTGATGAGCAGGAGCAATGAGAGAAAAGGAATTTCTGTTTTTACTTATAACCCTCTGTTCTACTTGATGTTTTTACCATGTGCGTGCATTAATTTAAAATTAATAAACTTGATATTAAAAATAAAACTGACCCAAGGAGTTATTTTTCTTCTTTTCAAAATGTGACAATTTAGAATAAAATACAGGGCAGGCTTATATAAGCATGACAGAAGCCTAAAGGAAAAGAATACAAGATTTGACATCAAAATTTAAAAAAAAATCTTTACGAGAAAAATCCATAAATAAAATGAAAAGACTAGTGATTAGCTGGAAGAACATATTTGGCACACATATAAATAACAAATCTATGAAAAACAAAACATGACGGACTTCTACTTCCAGCAATGATGAAGTAACAGTGAATGGATTCATCTTCCCACATTAACAACTCAGAAATGGGCAAAATATATGAAATGGCCATTTTCAGATATTGGATAACAAGCAGAGTTGGTAAAAATAAAAAACAAACAGCAAGATGGTAGTTTTAAACAGAACCGTATCAATAATCATATTAAAGTTAATGGTCTCACAGCAACCCAATTAAAAGGCTGAGATTGGTAGAATACAAAATTTAAAAAAACACAACCATATGCTGGCTATAGGAAACCCACTTTAAATAAAAACACAAATAGTTGAACAGAAAAGGTAGGGAAAAGATACACCATGTTAACTCTGATTTTTAAAAAGCTGGAGTGACTATATTATCAGATAAAGCAGGTTGCCAGCAAAGAATATTATCAGAAATACAGAGGGCTATTTTATAACAATAAAGTGGTTAATTTGTCATTAGGACATGACAAACCCAAAAATATATGAACCTAAATAACACATTAAAAATACATGAAGCAAAAACTGACTGAGCAAAGAAAAACAGACAAATCCACAATTTTAGAGACTTCAACATCTTTCTCACTAATTGAAAAACCAAGGAGACAGAAAATAAGCAAAAATATGTAGATGATTTGAATAACACAAGTAATAAATTTGACCTAATTGACACCTACACAACACTCAGCCCACCAACAACAGAAAACATATTCTTTACAAACCCACATTGAACATTTACCAAGACAGACAATATCTCTGCTGTATAACAAGTCTCAATAAAGTTAAAGGATTCAAGTCAAATGAAGTGTGTTCTCTGACCACAATGGTGTTAAATTAAAAATTGGTAAAAGAGATATGGAAAATTCTCTGAATATTTGAAAAATAAAGCACTTCTAAATAATCTATCGCTTGAGAGTAAGTCTAAAAGAAAAGTTGAAAGTATTTTAAACTGAGTGATATGAAAATATGAGACATACAAATTTGTAGGATATAGCTAGAACAGTGCTTAGAGGGACATTTATAGCACCAAACAACTATATTAGAAAAGAAAGATCTTAAATCAATGACTTCAGCTTCCTCAATAAGAAACTTAAAAAAGAAAAATTTTAATTCAAAACAAGCAGAAGATATGAAATAATAAATATAAGAACAGAATACATATATACTATATGATTCCATTTTTTATAAAGTTCTAGAAAATTCAAAGTATTATAATAGCAGATTAGTGGTTACCCAGCAACAGAGTTGGGTAGAGGGAGGGATGCATTACAAAGGGGCACAAAAATATTTGGAGGTAATGGGTATGTTCATTATCTTGTTTGTGGCAGTGATTTCAGTCAAAATTCATCAAATTTTTCTTTTTAAATATGTCTAGCTTATTTTATGTGAATAGATATTTATGTTAATAGAGCTGTAAACACGCACATGCATACGTGTGTGCTCATACACACACACACACACACACACACACACACACACACACACAAGCATGTCTGAAAGACTTATTTAAGAAGATCAGTTGTTTAACCCCCTTATTCTACAGATAAGGAACCTGGAGTCCAAAGAGGGCAAGATCACACAGCCAATTCATAAGACTGGGATTAGAATTTAAGTATCTTTAATCCAAGTAGTGCTTTTCTTAGTGTATCAAAGGCAGAAGTCAGATTAAAGGAATAAATTAAATGGTGGGTTTTCAATCATTTGTGGCATACCCCTGGGAAAGAAACATGGGCATGGTGAAAAGGAGTGACTTCCCCAGGATTCTTTCAATGACATGCTGGAATTGGTTTGTACTGACTCATGAATATTGGTGGTTACATTTTCAGGAAGTTTGAAAGTCAGTTATTAAAGCCATTATTAGAAATTAAATGATATAAACTTGCAATTAAATACATTTGTATTAAAATAATGATCATAAATACGCTAAACACACCACTTCCTAATTATTTTGCTACATTTTACTATCTGTGCTCTTGAGGTTTTCACTTCTATTGTATCTTGGGACATCCTCACCAACATGTCATTTCCTGACTTGTTAATATTAGTCATTCTGACTGGTGTAAGGTGATATCTCACTGTGGTTTTGATTTATATTTCTCTGATGGCGAGTGACGTTGAGCACTTTTTCATGTGTCTGTTGGCCATTTGGATGTCTTCTTTGCAGAAATGTCTGTTCGTGTCTTCTGCCCATTTCTTAATTGGATTATTTGTTTTTGGGGTGTTGAGTTTGATAAGTTCTTTATAGATTTTGGATACTAGCCATTTATCTGATATGTCATTTGCAAATATCTTCTCCCATTCTGTTGGTTATTTTTTTGGTTTTGTTGACTGTTTCCTTTGCTGTGCAAAAGGTTTTGATCTTGATGAAGTTCCAATAGTTCATTTTTGCCCTTGCTTCCCTTGTCTTTGGCAATGTTTCTAGGAAGAAGTTGCTGTGGCTGAGGTCGAAGAGGTTACTGCCTGTGTTCTCCTCAAGAATTTTGATGGATTCCTGTCTCACATTGAGGTCTTTTATCCATTTTGAGTCTACTTTTTATGTGGTGTAAGGAAATGGTCCAGTTTCATTCTTCTGCATGTCACTGTCCAATTTTACCAACACCATTTGTTGAAGAGACTGTCTCTTTTCCATTGGACATTCTTTCCTGCTTTGTCAAAGATTAGTTGACCATAGAGTTGAGGGTCTATTTCTGGCCTCTCTATTCTGTTCCATTGATCACATATATGTTTCTTTTTGTGCCAGCACCATACTGTCTTGACGATTACAGCTTTGTAATAGAGCTTGAAGTCTGGAATTGTGATGCCACCAACTTTGGTTTTCTTTTTCAACATTCCTTTGGCTATTCAGGGTCTTTTCTTGTTCCATATAAATTTTGGGATTATTTGTTCCATTTCTTTGAAAAAAAATTGGTGGTATTTTGATAGGGATTGCATTAAATGTGTAGATTGCTTTGAGTAGCATAGACATTTTCACAATATTTGTTCTTGCAATCCATGAGCATGGAACATTTTTCCATTTCTTTGTGTCTTCCTCAATTTCTTTCATGAGTACTCTGTAAGTTTTCTGAGTATGGATTCTTTGCCTCTTTGGTTAGGTTTATTCCTAGGTATCTTATGGTTTTGGGTGCAGTTATAAATGGATTGACTCCTTAATTTCTCTTTCTTCTGTCTTGCTGTTGGTGTATAGAAATACAACTGATTTCTGTGCATTGATTTTATATCCTGACACTTTACGGAATTCCTTATGAGTTCTAGCAGTTTTGGAGTGGCGTCTTTTGGGTGTTCCACATAAAGTATCATATCATCTGCAAAAAGAGTTTGACTTCTTTGCTGATTTGGATGGCTTTTATTTCTTTTTGTTGTCTGATTGCTGAGGCTAGGACTTCTAGTACTATGTGGAATAGCAGTGGTGATAGTGGATATACTTGCTGTATTCCTGAACTTAGGAGAAAAGCTCTCAGTTTTTCCCCATTGAGAATGATATTCAGTGTGGGTTTTTCATAGAAGGCTTTTTATGATACTGAGGTATGTTCCTGCTATCCCTACACTGTGAAGAGTTTTGATCAAGAAAGGATGCTGTACTTTGTCAAATACTTTTTCAGCATCTATTGAAAGTATCATATGGTTCTTGTTCTTTCTTTTATTAATGTATCACATTGATTGATTTGTAGATGTTGAACCAACCTTGCAGCCCAAGAATAAATCCCACTTGGTCGTGGTGAATAATCCTTTTAATGTACTGTGGATCCTATTAGTTAGTATTTTGGTGAGAATTTTTGCATCCGTGTTCTTCAAGGATATTGGTCTGTAATTGTCCTTTTTGATGGGGTCTTTGTGTGGTTTTAGGATCAAGGTAATGCTGGCCTCATAAAATGAGTTTGGAAGTTTCCCTTCCATTTCTATTTTTTGTAACAGTTTCAGGAGAATAGGTATTAATTTTTCTTTAAATGTTTGGTAGAATCCCCCTGGGAAGCCATCTGGCCCTGGGCTCTTGTTTGTTGGGAGATTTTCGATGACTTCTTCAATCTCCTTAGTAGTTATGGGTCTGTTCAGGTTTTCTATTTCTTCCTGGTTCAGTTTTGGTAGTTTATATGTCTCTAGGAATGCATCTGTTTCTTCCAGGTTGTCAAATTTGCTGGTATATACTTGCTCATAATATGTTCTTATAATTGTTTGTATTTCTTGTGTGTTGGTTGTGATCTCTCCTCTTTCATTCATGATTTTATTAATTTGGGTCCTTTCTCTTTTCTTTTTGATAAGTCTGGCCAGCAGTTTATCAATCTTATTAATTCTTTCAAGAACGAGCTCCTAGTTTCTTGGATTTTTTCTACTGTTCTTTTGGTTTCTATTTCATTGATTTCTGCTTTAATCTTTATTATTTCCCTTCTCCTGTTGGGTTTAGGCTTTCTTTGCTATTCTTCCTCCAACTTCTTTAGGTGTAGGGTTAAGCTGTGTACTTGAGGCCTTTCTTGTTTCTTGAGAAAGGTTTGTATTGCTATATACTTTCCTCTCCAGACCACCTTTGCTGTGTCCCAAAGATTTTGAACAGTTGAGTTTTCATTTTCATTTATTTCCATGAATTTTAAAAATTCTTCTTTAATTTCCTAGTTGCCCCATTCATTCTTAATAGGACGCTCTTTAGCCTCCATGCTGCTCATTTGAGTTCTTTCCAATTTTCCTCTTGTGGTTGAGTTCTAGTTTCAAAGCATTGTGGTCTGAAAATATGCAGGGAATGTTACCAGTCCTTTGGTACCAGTTGAGACCTGATTTGTGACTCAGGATGTGATCTATTCTGGAGATTGTTCCATGTGCACTAGAGAAGAATGTGTATTCTATTGCTTTTGGATGGAATGTTCTAAATATATTGTGATGTCCCTCTGGTCCAGTGTATCATTTAAAGCCTTTATTCCCTTGTTAATCTTTTACTTAGATGATCTGTCCATTTCAGTGAGGGGGGTGTTAAGGTCCCCTACTATTATTGTATTGTTGTTAATGTATTTCTATGATTTTGTTATTAATTGGTTTATATAATTGGCTGCTCCCATGTTAGGGGCATAAATATTTAAAATTCTTAGATCTTCTTATTGGACAGACCCTTTGAGTATGATATAGTGTCCTTCCTCATCTCTTATTATAGTCTTTGGCTTAAAATCTAATTGATCTGATATAAGGATTGCCACCCCAGCTTTCTTTTGATATCCATTAGCATGGTAAATTGTTTTTCACCCTCTCACTTTAAATCTGGAAGTGTCTTTTGGTCTAAAATGAGTTTCTTGCAGACAGCATATCATGAGTCTTGTCTTTTTATCCATTCCGATACCCTATGTCTTTTGATTGGGGCATTTGGCCCATTTACATTCAGGGTAACTATTGAAAGATATGAATTTAGTGTCATTGTATTGTCTGTAAGGTGACTGTTACTGAATATTGTCTCTGTTCCTTTCTGGTCTGTTACTTTTAGGCTCTCTCTTTGCCTAGAGGTCCCCTTTCAATATTTCCTTAGAGTTGGTTTGGTGTTCACAAATTCTTTTAAATTTTGTTTGTCCTGGAAGTTTTTTATTTCTCCTTCTATTTTCAATGATAGCCTAGCTGGATATAATATTCTTGGCCGCATATTTTTCTCATTTAGTGCTCTGAATATATCATACCAGTCCTTTCTGGCCTGCCAGGTCTCTGTGGATAGTTCTGCTGCCAATCTAATATTTCTACCATTGTATGTCACAGACTTCTTGTCCTGAGCTACTTTCAGGATTTTCTCTTTGTCTCTGAGACTTGTAAGTTTTACTATTATATGACAGGGTGTGGACCTATTTTATTTATTTTGAGGATGGTTCTCTGTGACTCCTGGATTTTGATGCTTGTTCCCTTTGCCGAATTAGGGAAATTCTCTGTTATAATTTTCTCCAATATACCTTTCTCCCCTCTCTCTCTTTCTTCTTCTTCTGGGATGCCAATTATTCTAATGTTGTTTTGTCTTATGGTATCACTTATCTCCCGAATTCTTCTCTTGTGGTCTAGTAGTTGTTTATCTCTCTTTTTCTCAACTTCTTTATTCTCCATCATTTGGTCTTCTATATCACTAATTCTTTTTTCTGCCTCATTTATTCTTGTAAGAGCCTCCATTTTTAATTGCACCTCATTAATAGCTTTTTTAAAATTTCATCTTGGTTAGATTTTAGTTCTTTTATTTCTCCAAAAAGGGATTTTATTTTTCCAGAAAGGGATTCTCTATTATCTTCCATGCTTTTTTCGAGTCCAGCTAACACCTTGATAATCATCATTCTGAACTGTAGTTCTGACATATTAGTAATGTCCATATTGATTAGGTTCCTAGCCATAGGTACTACCTCTTGTTCTTCTTTCTGTGGGAGTTTTCCTGCCTTGTCATTTTATCCAGATAAGAATAGATGAATGAGAGAACGAAATACTAAAAGGGTAGAAATGACCCCAGAAAAATATACACTAACCAAATCAGAAGAAACCTATAACCAGGGGGAGAAGAAAGGGGGGGAAAAGAAAAAAAAATTATTAGACTGGTGAATAGAACAGAGCCACACACTTGATTTTGGGTGTATTTTGGTGTATTAGAAGAAACTACCTCCCAAAATTTTAAAGAAAGAAAAATATATATATATATATACACATACACAAATAAGGGTAAACATGATAAAGGGTAAGATTCCAAAAAAGGAATTGATAAGAAGTTGGTTGAAAAAAGAAAAAAAAGAAGAAAGAATGTGAACAGGCTGGAGACTAGAACAAAGCCATATGCTAGATTTCGGGTATATTTTGATCTACTAGAAGAAACTGTATCCCAAAATTTTAAAGAAAGAAAAACCTATATGTATACAAAAAATAAGATTAAATACAATGAAGAGATAGAGTATGAGTATAGTAATAAAAATTTTAAAAAGATTTTTAAAAAGGTATTGATAAGATAAAATAGTTAAAAAGGTTAAAATAGGAAAGAGGAAAAATAAAAAAATAGAATAAGAAAAAATAAAATTAAAAAAATTTAACTGTATTGCTGTATTCCCGTTTTTCTGAGGTTTTGCAGTTCTCATTGATTGGTGAACTTGGTCTTGGCTGGATGTTCTTGCTGATCTTCTGGGGGAGGGGCCTGTTGCAGTGATTCTCAAATGTCTTTGCCTGAGGCAGAATTGCACCACCCTTGCCAGGGGCCAGGCTAAGCAATTTACTTGGGTTCACTCTTGGGAGCTTTTGTTCCCTGAATGCTTTCTGTACAGCTTTGGAGGACAGGATTGAAAATGACAGTCTCCCAATCTCCGGCCCCATAGAAGCCAAGAACTTGGGGCCCCACTCCTCAGCGTACCCTCAGAGAAAGTAGTCAATCCCTCCTCTCTCCCTGGTCTACGGCTGCACTCTGAGATCACCCAGCCTGTGACCGAGCATTTCTATCTCTGATGCACAGCCCCACTTGGAGTCTCCAAACCCAGCAGATTCATGCCATGCTCCTGCACCACCCCTTTTGGAGGAGGAAGATGAGTCTCCCCAGATCTGCTGCTTGTGGTGTCCTTGCTCGAAAAGCAGTGGCCCAACTGTGCCTCAGATCACAGTTTAAAGTAACCCCGAGCTGGGAGCCCCTCCTCAGCTCCATCTCTGCAGCTAGTTTCCTCACTCTGATACCTGGGGTCTCTGCTGCACTCAAGCACCCCTGATCTTTCTGTGACCCTGTGGGTCCTGAGACCACACTGTCTCTGGGAGGGCTCCACGCCCTGCTTAGCCTCTGTAGTGATGTCCCTCCGTGGAGCAGATTTCTAAAAGTTCTGATTTTGTGCTCCACTGCTCTACCACTTGCTGGGAGCCAGCCCCTCCCCCTGTGGTCTATCTTCCCATATATCACCTCGGATTCACTTCTCTGCCTGTCCTACCTTCTGGTGGTCAATTTTCTGTTCCTAGAATTGTGGTTCTTCTTCCTTTTGAGCTCCTGTTGAGTTTGTAAGTGTACAGAATGGTTTGATAACTATCTAGCCAAATTCCTGGGACCTGAGAATATTTAGGTCTCCTACTCCTCTGCCATCTTGCTCCTCAGAAGCTTGTGGTGGAAATGTTAAATGATGGTGTACTCTGCTTCTCTTCTCTAGTACATGTTCAATAACATCACCTTTGTGTCTTGAAATTGGCTACGGTGGCAGTGTTTATACCACAGAACTCAGCAAATGAAACATATAGAGATCTCCCCACTCCCACCAGAGATCAGGTTGTTAAACATTTAAGCAGCAGTTATAGGCCTTGAATCATTACTTGCCCTGGAATTCATTTAAGGCTGACCCAGAAGACAAACCATCAGTGCCTAAGGTCATTCTAGGTAAACTGTGGGCAGGCAATAAATGTTTAAGGGTAATCAGCCATCCCAGTTTGTGTATACTTTTGATTCCTGAACATCCCAGGGAACTCCTCAGTCCTGGGAAAGCCAGAATGGTTGATCATTCTAGTGTTTGCACATTTAACAACAACAAAAAAAAGGAACCAGGTGTGTAAATCAATTGAAAACTATCTCTTTTTGTGGGGAAGTAGCCCAAATGGATCTCTTTCTGTGAGATAACTAGTGGCACAGTGCATAAAGGCCCACACATTACATAATCTCAATAGTAGCTAGGAGGAATGACAAATCTTCTATACAGTAGGTGATTGAGAAATGCCCACTGGTGGTAGGTGACTGGAGAGAGGCAGGCCTACAGTTCAAATGGAGGCCGAAAGATGGTGGGTGCTCTAGAGTTTGGTCTACCAGCTGATGGCAACTATAGGTGGAAACAGACTCTGGATCTGAGGCAGGCAGGGGTTGGAGAAGCCTCAGAAGGGTTTCAAAAAAGACTGTGATAATGGGTGTGAATGCTAAAGGGAATGGCTGCAACTTTGAAGTGTTTACTTCAAAGTGTTTGAAGTGCTTCTTAGCCCTTTGAGGACATCAAAGGAGTTTACTGGGAAGGATGTGCCCATTCCACTTGGTTTTACTTTTCTTCTGTTCAAGGCTCACTCCATCCAAGGGCTGTGCAGTCAGTTGTCCTATGCAGCATGGGAAAGTTTTCTCTGACTAAAGATCTGCCCGGTCCTTCCCTACCTCCCCCCCGCAGACCTGCAATTTTCACCAAAGTCAGTCTCTTTCATGAAAAAACAAGAACTTAGAAGCAGCCTATTAACATTTGACCTCAGATTAGTAAATTAGTTTCTGATTGGTTCCCCAGAGTCTAGAACATACAGAGCAAGCGAGCTTTGGTGGTGAGAAAAGGAAAGGGGAAGGTTCTGGAGCATTGTCAAACAACATGCCAGCCCTGGTCTTGGCATATCAGTAAAAGCCTAAATTGGTGGTAATGACCTGGGCAAGGAAGGGCAACATCACAAACAAATGTCACATGCTTCCCAGTTGTATTTAAGGTCGATTCAGTTTCTTTTGCCCACTTGTCTCATTCTTGCTTTTCCAATGCCTGGAAATCTTCCTTGAAAAAGTCCCATTACCTGTGTGAATATGTCACACTCCTCACCAAGCCATTCTGTAATCACCATCAGAAGGGGTCAGGGAGGTATGGCTCCTTTTCCAAAAGAAACAGATAATAATTAATAATAGTAATAATAGTAGTAGTAGAAATTATTACTGTTCAAGCACTTAGTTGTGACAGGCATTGAGTTTTACTGTATTTTCTTTTGCTCTTTACTCTTTATTATGGAAGTAGAGTTGACACAAAATGTTACGTTAGTTTCAGGGTGACTCCATAATTCTCCATCTTATGTTGTGCTTACAGATGTAGCTACCACCTGCCATCATATAACACCAGTACAACACCACTGACAAGATTCCCCATGCTGTATCTTTCATCCCAATGACATATTCATTTCATACCTGGCAGCTTGTACCTCCCACTACCTTTAACCCATTTTCTCCATCCTTCCCATCCCCCTGCCCTCTGGCAATCATCAGTTTGTTCTCTGTATATATGGGTCTGTTTCTGCTTTTTTTTTTTTTTT